AACCGCCCCCCTCCAGTCAAAAAAAAAAAAAAAAAAAGAAAAAAGAGTAAGCCAGGTGTGGTGGTGCACGCCTGTAAAGCCAGCTCTCTCGGGAGGCTGAGGCAGGAGGATCGGTGCAAGGTCAAGGCTAGCCTTGACTAAACAGTGAGTTCCAAGCAAGACTGAAATATTTTTTAAAAAAACACTAAAATATACAACAAGACCAGTCCAAAAATAAAATCTCTTCTAGGCAACTAGCTGATGTTACCCATTTCCACCATGGTCAGCCTCCCAGAAGCCCTGGTGAAGACCTCCTCCTGAAATCATATTGTACCTACTATTGTAATAATAGCAATAGAACGAAATACACTACATCAGAATAAATATGCTATATCACTTCTTGATGTCTTGTAATTATATAAAATGCATGTGAAAGCATATTTTAAATGTAAAAATATAAAAGGCACAGAAATGCAAGTGTTTCTTTGCTATTGCTCCTATTACTATTTTTGTTCATTATTAAATCTGTTTGAAGGCAGCAGGCTGGCTCCTGTTTCTCTTAAGTGATTTTAGTATGTTAATCCTTTTAAATAAGCACGCAAATAATTTTGCTTCATCATTCTGTTTTAAATCATCTCATTGATATTTTTCAAAAAAGAGTAAAACTCATTACTAAGCATTGAAGTAAAACATAAAGCACATAAAAATAAATATTTCTTGAATAGTACAATAGGCATGTGATACGAATTATCAAAGCTTTTTATTTTAAGAAGGAAATTGCATAATCAGTTCTGTGTTCCAGGAATAATTTGTGGATGAGTTGAGTAACTGGAAAGCACAGTAAAGGATGAAAAGTAAGTATAAGGGATGAGGATTAGAGAATTAAAGCCGACTGAAGTTTTCAGTCCACATCACTGGTGCCAAAAACACATGGATCATGAATGTAGTAAAAGCACTATTTTCAGGATAAAATACTGAATTTGGCATACTGGAATTTGGAGAATTAGAGATACAGAATTTGGTTTAAATGTTGAAAGTGGGGAACCTGCAGCATCATAGGCTTATGGAGAGCCATTAATAAGATGCCAATAAATCTATATCTGGAATAACGGATATCATAAGAGAGATGAGCCTGGTGATAGTGTATATATGCATCTGCAAATCTGACAATAGTCAAATATAATGAGTTGAAGCAGGATTTAGGAACAAATGTCACTGAGTAAAAAGAAAAAGTCAGAGATGTATCAAAGGAATCACAAAAGGAGAGTTAGTAATGGCCAAGTGTCCAACAACGTCAAATGAAGTTTAAATTGTGTTTGGAAAAAGGGGTTTTAATGAAAGAGTAGCTATGATCATTTGAATAGTCTTAGAATTGCAATTTCAGGCAGGTGGTATCGGGCAACAGGTGGGCTGACCGTGGAACAATAGGCAGAAAGGGAGTAGCAGCACTAAGGTTGGATGGACTCTACTTTGTTTAAAAGTTTGTGAGTGACTAGAAGAAAGATGTGAGTCAACGGTTTAATGCAGAGGCAGGTTGCTACAGGACAGAGAAGAATTGAGTGCAAGTAGCCCGTGGAGAGGATAGTAAGGTATGAAAGTGAGAAAACACCAGAGTAATTACTGTTTCGTTATTTATTTATTTATTCCTCCATCCATTGACATGTGCAGTAACTCTTGTACTCATTTTTATTCAATGTTTGCTTTGTGTTTGGTAATTTTTCAGCCATTGTGCTAGGCACTAATATTGCAAAGATACAAATTATAATCTTGGAGGATTCTAGTATATAGTGAACACCAAGAAATTTAGCATCTTAAAAATACAAATAGAAAGGAAGAATGATTTGAATGATATATACATAATTAAGCTAGTAAAACAGAGATATTCAAGATGTTTTCCAGGCATGTTTTCCAGCAGGTGGCTAAACTTTGCTCTGCCGGAGCCTTTGCTCTGCTGTTGAAAGAAAAGTTTTCGATCTTATTCAAGATGTTGAACTGCTGGAAATGATACTTGTGTGTGTCTCAAGTAATTTTTAAAATGCTCCCAGAAAACTACATTATTACAAACAAATTGAAGATCAGGCTAGAAAATAAAAAAAAGGAGACTATAATGGGTAAATAATAAGATAAAACATAGGACATGCTTTCTGTTCCTCTCAGTACTGAAAAGGGTATCTACAGAGAACTGTAGAAAGAGCCACATAATAATATCTCTTAAAAGTATAAAAAAGAAAATTTTCAGATGTGGAAGTATTTGTGATATATATGATATGGATGGCATACATATTATATATGAAACATATACAATATAAAGTGAAAACATGTGAGAAGAGAAGCAACAGGTACATGGCACAAAGGAGATTTTTTTTTGTAATATTCCATTTGTCTTACTGCTTTCTTAAGGATTAACCAAAATTCAACATTAATCACAGTTCTCCCTTCTGCAATAATGGTGCCCTAAGGATCTCCTGAAGTTATAGAAAAAAACCAACTTTTTATGTAGCTATAATAAAAATCATTGGGCTGGCAGAAAGAAGAGGAAGATATGAAAATACTAAGGCATGTACAGGGGAATACCCATATTCATCCTTCAAATTCCAAATCAAAGGCAACCTTCTGTGGTATCTTCCCCAATCCTTCCAAGGGGAATGAAAAGGAGTCATTTGTTGCATCTCCTCCAACTGTGAATCAGGAGTTCCTTTTTGAAAATAAACTTTCCAAAGAAATCATCCTTAGGGGGAAGAGGAACAATAAGGCAGCAGGGTTATCGACAGAGGAGGGAAAAATCAGGGTGGTTATAAATCTTTAAAGAGAGAGGGCTGGATGAAAATGTTCATCACCCTGGAAGGTAACACATCCGTGACTAATCTGAAATATGAAACTCCTAGATGGCTTCTATGCCAGCTAAAGGATCGTCTGTATTTTGTGTCTTTAGAAACACATTAAACACATGTTCCCCAGAGAATTCTGGAGTTAACCCCCAAATTTGTACTTTCAATTCTTCCTATGATTCTTTAGATTTCAATACAAAGTTACTTTTTATCTGTCTATCAAACACTGCCTAAGCCATAATTTATTTCTCTCTGAGCACGCAAGACTTGTTAGTAACATAAACTCTATCTGAGTAATTACAAGTGGTGCTTATTTCCTCAGGTCGATAATGAGGATGATATCTGTCTCCTTGCCTACCTTATAATGCTGCCTATAATAAAATCTTCATATGAGATTTACAAAGGAGCAGGATTATATGTGACATGCTTCATTGTACTCTAAACATTCCTGGATAAAAAAAAAAGCTATCCTAGCTTTCTTCCAAGTCAGCTTTCTTCAAAGATGATTGTATGTATTCCTGCTCTGAAGCTGTGAAGTGAACAAACACCAAGAGCTTAATATCTGGGGAATGAAAAACTGCCAGATAGTAAAGTAAAAGCCACTTGGACAGTTCCATATAGGTCCCTTGCATCCCACTGCTGCCTGCAGGGCACAGGTCAGCAGACCACAGAAGGGTGTAGGGAAGTCACACTTCCAGCAGCAATAGTGGATCTGGTCAGAAAAGCGTATGATTGGCAAAGAGAAGGCAACAGAGACCTATGGCTTTAATAACAGTGGGCCACTGTTTCTCAGTGGGTATTGAGAAAAGCAATTGCACTTAAAATTTTCCTTCATGCTCTGTTCTCTGTTGCCTGGAAATTACTGACTCATGGTTTTATTTCTGCACTTTAGAGCTCTCCATGCAATTATAGGAGAGCTTTCTAAAATTCACAAGCATGTTGTATTCATAGCAATTCAGATACCATAACTTTCCTGCTAAATTAACTGCTTGGAGTAGGCTTCAAAATCAGAAGAATTACATCCACATGGGCATGAAGTTTTCTCTTCCACTAGGAAGGTAAATTCTATGAATACAAGTCATCTGCTAAGACACTAAAACTGTAGAATTCCTATTTATTATGTCCTAGAGCCTATAATAGTTTAAGAATCACAAAAAGTATCTGCCTTCATACAGAGATAGTGTCCACAGAAGAGTTAAGAAAAGATTGTCAGAATGCTAGAACAAAACAGGTGGGAAAAGCTGAATTTGTCAAGATGTTTCGTTGTTCATTTTTTTCCCTATATCACTATTTCTAAACATGGATCTACAAGTCTTACTAGTAGGTGTTAATATGAACACATCCCACAGATAGTACAAGCAGCCACTGGAATTCTTAAAATGCTGTAAGACTGATGGTTTAGAATGGAATGGATACTGGCAATGAGGGATTCAAAGGAAAGTCCTTTCTTTTATAGATAAAAATGAATGCTAAAAAAATCCTGCAAGAGCTTTTATATCTGGAGAGAACCTTTTTTTTTTCTGAATACACACACAATATTCTCAAACATCTAACTTGACTATTAGGCCAAAGGAGGAATCAAATCTCGCTACAGGTCTTGCCATGTTACATCCTCATAATTTATAACAGAATCTCAGAACCCCTGATCCATAAAAAAAAAACCTTAGGGTTTAGAAATATAGAGGGAAGAAAATAATTCTGAATCAGTAACAATATAAACCACAGATCACTTTAAAGGTAAGGGTAGTGTTACTTTCAGGGACTTGAAATAACACTAATGGCCACAAGGAAAATTATTATAGTTTATGTGGAATATTGCTATTTTTTATTATCTCTGAATAGATGTAAGGCAAAGATACCCATAATTAGAATGGCAGAACCCCACGAGGGGTTTTAAATTGTGCTGGCATTAAATGCCACCACTAGGATCTTAAAAGAATTGCCTTATGATATAGATGACTCATTTATAGTTAGATTATATAAAAGTGTAAGCTGCTGGAGTGCTTTTCAAAGCTCTCAGAAACCATGAACTTTGCTAAGCAAGTAAAAACGTCCGCCCACAATCATATTTATGTTATTTTCATTAGCAAGCTCTCCCTTCCCCTGTTTTGTTTCCTCTAACAGGTTATGTTTCAACCTGTTCTATGTGAATATGGATAACAATTCAGAGAAATATGAATACAAATGGTATGTTCAATATTTAAGTTTTCCATCTTTTTGGATAGGTTGTACTAAAATTGAAACATTTTTAAATGTAATATGAGTTTACATGTTTACTGAGAATATGAGTATGGGAAAATGTACCACACTGTCCTTTGTTAACTTTTTGTAAAATTAAAATATCTCTACTGCAAATAATATATTTTTACTACTGCTTTACTTATAAATTTCATAGAATTTAAAATGTTTAAGGAAGGCAATCATATACCAATCTGAGAATGCCAAGTACTAAGAGTTATTTTGATATTTATAGAAATAAATGAAACAACAAATCCTTTTAAAGACCTGATATACAATGGTCTTTATTTATAGCAGCCTATTCTGATAAATTCTGCTACCTAAATCATATTAATAAAGAAGTGAAAAAAAACAACGATCAGAGGTGATAAAGCAATCTGTATCAATTGCTTAAATGTCATATATTGTTTGTTCCCCAACTTAATCAAATTTCATTTCAGATTTTACTAGCATAACAATGTTAAATTGTGGCTTTAATCAAAATAAATTTAAATATTTTCACTTTAAATTTTAGCACTTTTGGGTCCCATATTGAACTCGAGTTAGAAGAGGTGAGTCCAAGATCAGAATGGAGGCAAAACCATCACCTGGTTGCCCCCAGCCCAACTCGGGCCTTTGCCGCCTCCTGAGGGAGGAGGGTGATGATCCAAAAGAACTGGAACACTGGAGGAAGCTGTTTATTGATGGTCTGAGCTTTGAAATTACAGATGATAGTTTAAGAAAACATTTGGAAAAATGGGGCACAATTGCAGGTAGTGTGGTGATGAGAGATCACAAACAAAACACTCCAGGGCTTTTGTTTTGTGACTTATTCTTGTGTTGAAGAGGTGGATGGATACAGTAATGTATGCTCAAAGTTGATGGCTGTAGTGGAACCAAAAAGAGATGTTTCTAGAGAGGATTCAGCAAAGCCTGGTGCCCATCAAACAGTGAATAAAAATTTTGTTGGCAATATTAAAGAAGATACAGAAGACTATAGTTTGACAGACTACCTTGGAAAGTATGACAGAACTGAAAGCACTGAAGTTATACAAGACAGGCAGAGTGAGAAAAAGAGATACTTGCCTTTGTAATTTTTGATGATCATGATAGAGCTGATAAAATTGTTGTTTAGAAATACCATGCTATAAAGGGCATAATTGCGAAGTGAAAAAGGAATTTTCTAACCAAGAGATGCAGTCTGCTGGGTCGCAAAGAGGTCCTGGTGGTGGATCTGGCAACTTTATGGGTCGTGGAGGAAATTTGGGGTGGTGGAGGGAATATTGGCTGTGGTGGAAAGTTGGGTAGAAGAGGAGGCTATGGAGCAGATCAAGGTGGATATAATCGATGTGGAGGTGATGGTGGCAACTATGGCAGTGGTCCTGGTTACAGTAGTAGAGGAGCTGTGCTGGCGGTTGACCAGGATATGGAAACCAGGTGTGGATGTGGTGGCAATCGAGGTGCATATGATGGTTACCATGAAGGAGGAAATTTTGATGGTGATAACTATGGGGGTGTTGGGAACTCTAATGATTTTGGAAATTATAATAGACAACAGCAATCAAATGACAGACCCATGAAGGTGGGCACAGTTTCGGTGGAAGAAGCCATGGTAGTCTCAATGGTGGTGGTTATGGATCTGGTGGTGGAAGTGGTGGACATGGTAGCAGAAGATTTCTAAAAACAACAGAAAAGCACTGCAGTTCTTAGCAGAAGGTAAGGGAGTAGTTGTCAGGAAAGCTGTGGGTTACATTGTAACAGTAATCCCACATGCATTAGAAGAACTATAAAAATCTCCATTAGAAGGAATGACGATCCATAGTCAGAAAAGTTCCTGCAGCTTGAATAGGAAACCCTTCCAGCTCAGGGCTGTCATAGCCACAGTTTACAAAAAGTGCAGCTATTGCTAAATGCAATGTAGTGTCAATTAGATGTATGTCCTGACATCTTTTATCTGTTGTATCTTTTTCTTTTCTTCTTCCTTTTCATTACACCAGGTATATTGTTCTGCAAACTGTGGAAGTGGTACCAGGAATAAAAAAATAAAAGAATTTTAAAAACAAACTAACAAATTTTAGCACCTTTGTCTATTAAATAAACAATGATGCCATAAAACAAATGCCATAAAAGATTATGGCATTTGGTGAGTCAAGTGATTATATTTTGACCCAGTAATTATCCATTTGGAAATCTGTTCAATACTATATAAATTTTTAGAAAAGAAGGAAAGACAGAATAGAAAATATATTAAACATGGTATAATTTATATTCATATATGTTCAAAAAGGACTATAAGACCAACAGTGGAAAGGAATATTTTTAAAGGACAGAGAATACATTAAAAATGCTTAGCTCAGTAGCAGCCCACCTGCCTAGGATGTGTAAGGCCTTGGGTTTGATCCCTAGCAGCTTAAAAACAGAACTTCTCTGAGACAGGATCAAGGAAAAATAGTACATAATATCCCAAAACAAATGTAATCAATTCAGCAAAGTAAAATGCTTATCAAAATATTGACAATCAAATACAGTCACATGTCTCTTAATGATGAGATATGTACTGATATTTGGACATCATAAAGTGTTTTTACAGAAACCCAGAGTGCATAAGTCAATCACTTGGCATGGCCTCTTGATTCAATCAATAGACGTGACAAACATGAGAAGGTGAGCAATTGTCAGTATGAAGCACCATATGATTTACAGTAAAATTTTTTCTTTTTAAGTAGGAGTACACTCTAAAACAATGATAAAAACTACAATATAGTAAATGCACAAACTGGTAACAGTTGTTAATTGTCATTATTATGTTGGTACATGATTGTATGTGCTATATACTTGCATAAGACTAGCAACATAGTGGGTTTCAGACTATGTAACTATGACACTAATGATTATGACAGTGTCAGAGGGCTGGAGGGATTTTTCAGCCTCAACATAATCTGATAGTAGTATCATCATATACACAGCCCAGGGGTTATATCAGTGGTAGAGCATTTGACTGCATATACACAGTCTGTCCTTGATGAACACGTTATTATGCAGCTCAGGATGGTATAGTAATGGTGTATTGCTGAAGTGCGGGAGTTTATATTTTATATATAAATTACTTTTACTATCTAAATATTATATATAACCATAAAAAAGTTATTCAAATCTTGCAAGACATATGCTTTTTAAGAATTGTATCTAAGTTTTCTGTATTATATAGTGCTCCCAAGTTTAAATCACAACAGAAGACACAATTCTCAAACAACACACAAGTTCATTCTGCAACTTCCTTACTTGTAATTATCAATGTAAGAACCCCATGATCCCGTAATATAACACTTCTTTCTTTTAAATAATAGCATTGAAAATTTTGCTTACTTTACCACAATATTTCCTAAACATCGAGCCTTCAGTTTTTGCATGTTGTCATCCAAAATCATAACTATGAAAAAGAAATAAATAAAAATGTGACTAAAAGCATGCAAGATTAAAATTTTCCATATTTTTAATATTCAAAGGCAAAAACTAGTTAAAAAAGTAATATTTTAATTATTAGGAGGCCATAAATACATATAAAAAGCTAAAATATCTTGCAAACATAAAAAGGGCGCAATGTTTGATTTCTAATAAGATCTTAAATTTACCTTCTGAATCTCCCTTAAATACACTCTGTTTCATACATGCTAATAACTTCACGATCTACTAAGTTCATTTATATCCTTCCATTCAGGAAAGGATGTTTAAAAACATCTGTTCATTTATTAACAATTAAAGGAAATAGTTTTAAAATGTACAAAAAGGTTATACAGAATAAAAACAAAGCATTAAAAAGTATGAAAAGCTAGATATGTACTTAGATTTCAGTTGGATATATTTAATCTTCCCAACCATTATTCCAATGCTTTTGGTACTATTTTAATACAATCTTGAATGTGTTCACATCAAAGCTTGCAACTGTTGCTGCAAACCAGACATGAAGATAAATCATCATCATCTAAGATTTAATAGATTCTTTACATGGCTCCATTCATCCAGGTAATTCCATTGTAAGCAGCTAGAAGAGAATATTGTCCCCATCGGGGGGGAAATGAATTGCTTCTTCCTTGGTGTTCCTGGAACATTTCCTTATAAAACACTCTTTTGACATTTATTAGCAGAGCTAAAAATGTCTGTATCTCACTAGATTGTGAGTTTATTAAAGGTGGAGGCAATGACTATTACATCTTTTGTTTTCCCCAATCCCAGAACACTGGCCACATTACTGTGCGTTTCTGGGAATGCTCTATTACCCCTCAGTTTTTCTGTCTACGGTGAAGGATGGATTCCCTTCTTGTTGTGTTGGCATTAGGAATTATTTGGGGGGAAATGTACATAAAGTGACAAATTTGCAACAGTACTCAAGGAATTTGAAATTAAGCATATATTACATTTAATGTTTCTTCACACAGAGTTTATTCCCTTCCCCCAAAGTATCTTTTTTTTATAATAACATTGAAATAGTACATTATGGCTTTGAATCTTAGTAACAACAAAACCTAAGTATTATCAACCATAAACTGACTAGTTTCTCAGTTATAAAACTTAACTAGTCCTGTCTAAAACCAACAGCTATTGGACAAAGAAATCTGTGCTGAAGCTTCATGAGGCATCAAAGTTTAACTCTTTCTTACAATTACATATAAAAGTAGGACTGAAATACTAAAGGATAAATGCATTTAAGATCTCTCACCATCAGCACCCCTAAAAATGTCTCAACACAAAAAACAATTTCTCCAATAAAAAGAACAGGATGAATGAACTATTCAAATGCAGGATTTCACTAAAGCTAGGTTCACTTATTCATGGTTGGAGAAGTCACTTAACTTATAGAAAAAAAAAAAGAAAAAAGAAAAAAGAAAGAAAGAAAAGAATCTGCCCTACATAAAAAAAATCTAAAGTGCCTTTCTATAAATATATATTCTAGGTTAAACTAAATGATCTGTAATTTAACTAGACATTGTCTAAGAAGGAGAATACAATATTTTGATATTAGAGGAAAAAAGATAAATCTCTAAGTTTTTGTAATTTATATGAAAATGGGTAACTTGTTAAGAATCATACCCAGTCCCCTGAAACTCACTTTTTCTCATAGTCTATTAAATTAAACTTTGGGACTTATGTAAATTGCATCACCTATGTGACTAATTTTCCTTGACTGTAAAATGAATTTGTAGGTTTGAATCAAGTCAGTTCTTCTGGCCTCTCCTAAGCATCAGGGGCACTACCAGCTAATGCATAATTCTAACCTTTCCCTTGTAGGTAGTGTTTTGATACTTTTCTGTGCAAAGTTACAATTATTCAGCAGCCCTAGAATATGTATAAAATCACTGCATCTATTTAGAAATATGACAACTTTCATGATCACTTCTATAAATTTAAAAACAAATATTGAATGGATGCCTGTCACATAAAGCTAGTATCAAAGAAATCTTTTCTTTTAGAATGTTTGCTACCTTTTTAATTATTTTTAGCAAACTATGTTCAAAGCCTTGTCATCATTCTTAAATTAAAAGTTAGTATGTGTTATGGAGGAAACTGTAGGTTTTTGTAATACAAGAAAGAAAGCAAAGAAAATCAAATGGTTTGCATTGTCCAGAAGCTCTAACCAGTCGTGCCAGCCTAGGAAAGCTTTTCAGTTTCTGTCAGAAATGAGTCGACCATTTCTAAATGACAATAATATCTCTAAACTAAATATACTTCAGCCTGAAAGGAAATGATATAATAGGATTGGTCACTTAGCATGTGTTCCATACATAGTAATTTCATATACATTTTCTTAAAATGTCTTATAAAATTATACTAACTTGGCTATCATAGCCATTTAGAAAATGTCCCTGGAAGGCCACACTATTACTTTTGATAGCAAAAATTAATGCATTTATTTTAACTACAAGGCATTCATTCACATTTTAAAGCACCTAGTTTGTTTTATGCAAAATAGTATACAGCATGCATAGAAAATAACAAATTTATTGACATTACATGTTTCAAATAACCAGGCTTTTTTCTTACCATTGTATCCTGGAACACATTTTCCTGCTTGCCCTGGAGGAGGCGTTTTAGAGTTACCTAGTCCAACACATGAGGCTGTAATTGGTGATCCGGTCTCTGGAGAAATATTAAGGATTTATCACTTAATGTTTCCATGTGGAATTATAATGTTTGCTCAGTGCATGCACCCATCCTAGTTTGTCTTATAATTTCCTCATAATTGCATTCAGAATAGCGCAGATGTATTATTTAAAAGTTTAAAAATCTAGTAATTGACAATATATCGACAGCTATAAATCTCAAGAATACACACTTAGAATAATTTATTTACTAAAGGAATAACTTCTTTCCTAAAGAAAGGCTGTTCTAATGTTCCCAGTGGTAAATCGGGAGACATAAAGAATGGAGAATTTTTGTGACCATACATGTTTATCAACACATGTTAAAAGCTGAAAGATCACTACAAGATACAGTTTTCCTTGACACACTTAGTCACAGGTCAAGAGACATTCTACATAATTTGGGGGAAAAATCATTTCACAACTAAATAATGATTAGGGCTGTCTGAGGTCCCAATGGTCCCTTGATGCTGTAACACTAAAGGGCAAGATTACATCAGCTAAAGGCACCCTGATTCTTTAAGAACCCAGCAGTAATACAAAAAGAGAAAGGCTTCACCTGGGAAGGGCAAATCCCTTTCATCAGCTAACTCATCCCACCTACTGTTGTAAAAACATTTTGCGCATATTACCACCCTAATCCACATAAGCTTCTCAATGACCTGAGCTCCTCATCACATAAGATCGTCATCATCATAGGATTAGTGAGACATCTGATAGATACTGCCTCCGACTATGAATTTAGGATTATCACTGCCCTGAGACGTCTGATACTCCCTATGAACCCAATAAATAGTGGCGAGCTCTGAGTGTCTTTGTCTTTGCCCATTCTGAGGCACAGACCTCCAGCCCTTCCCCCCTTCTCCCATAATTACACAAGTCTCTATTGTCTTTCTTTTATTAGCCCTCAGCATACCCTTTTCTAGGCAGTTGAAGGATTGATTGACTTCCAATAGCCATGATGTTTATCTTTGTAAATTACAGCTGTGTGGTAAATAGTTCTTGTTCTCTGGAAAAATAGCCCAAAGACTTAAAAATATATATATGAATAAAATTATGCTCTGATTTTCTAAGAACTACACTTGCCTAGAGATCCTGTATCTCAAGCTGAATTTGTCAAGTGGTTCCCATTCTCTCAGGCCTGGAAGTTTTGAAGCTCTAAAACATAGAAAGGAAATGCTTATGCTATTCCTTAATATCAGAGAGTAGCAAAAGTGTTACCGGATAACCATAAATTCTGAAAGTGATTATTTTTAGGGAAGAATATGTTAGGCATTCATAAATACAAATTTGAGGTAAACAATCTTTTAGAGGTGCATATGTGCAGAGGGCCATAATAAGAGGATAATGATAGTGAAAAGTTTGAAAATTATGTGCTTAAAATATATGCACAAAATACACAAACATGCCCAAGGGACTAACTTCCAAACCAACCATATCCAATGTAATCCAAAAAATAAATTAAAAAAAATAACATCCATCTTTCTAAGTATGCAAAATGTATTCCTTCTACCGTGACCTCTAACACTGTTTATCATACATGTATATCACTTTAGAAGGATGGGAAGAATTTATTACTGTTCTTTACATTCCAGAGTAATTTAGTTTATTATTCTCTCTCTCTTTTTTTTTTTTTGGTACCGGGGATTGAACTCTGGTCCTTGAGCTTTCAAGGCAGGCCACCGAACTACTGAGCTAAATGCCTGGCCCTTATTCACATTTTATGAATGGTGGCTCATCTGACATCCATACCAGAAGATGGATTCCTGAACTTTAAAACATAAATCACATTCTACTAATTAAGATGCTAAACACATGGTCACTGCTGGTCACTCATCACCAAGTAACCAGAACCAGAGACTCTCATTTTTTTAACAAAGTTGAAAACATAATTTTATATCCTGACAAAAATGGGGGCGCTGTTTTACGAAATGGTATTCCATAATCGTGGAGTGCTCCCTTCCGTTTTCCTCACAGTACAGTCAAAATATAGAGAGATATCCAGGTGGTTGGAAGGCTTAACAGCACTTTTCCGTCTTTTTGCAATGTTTCTTATTCACCTCAGCTCTCCTTTAAAACTAATGTGGAAGACAGCAGTAGAAGTGATAACAAGAAGCAAGTTTGTGCAAAGAGCCACTTAAAGGAAAGTACATGAGATGCACAGGAACAGAAGCTTCCAAAATATAGTAGGAGAGGAAATGGCTCATTAGACATGTTGCCCTTTCAACACTGGTGGGAGGTAGCTGCTAAGGTTAATTTATTTTGAAATTATTTCTTGTCAAGTCAGTTTATCAAGAGGGGATCTCCAATCATTGGGAGTTTGAATTCTGTACAGTTCCTAACTCCATGTCTTCATTTCTTGTTTATTTTGGTTTGAGAATCTACAAATGAATCACCATGAAATCTAGTGCCCACTACTGGCTCTGAAACCTGACACCTAAAAGAAAAGCAAACAAAGGATGCTTCAAAATAACCTCAAACCACACCATAGTTCATCCCATCTCGGTTTAGGTTCCTGAAAATGATGTCAACCCTCTGTTCTTCTGATCCCATTGAGGGAAGAGGAGTGTGGGGAGAAGAAGTGAACAGAACATAGTCTCAGATAAAGATGCAAGAAAGGATTACCAAAGCACTGTCAATAGTCACTGTTTAGGTAAGTTGACATACACACCTCCAGGGATGCTTAAACTTCTTTATATAGTGTTTGCTTATTCATAATCTTTTAACTTTCACCTCTTTTCTTAGCTTATGAGTATAAGACAGCTATGAGCTAGGCATAGTGGTAGACACCTGTAATCCTACTATTCTGGGAAGCTGAGGTAGGAGAATCACAAGTTGGAGGCCAGCCTGGGCAATTTAACAAGACACTGAGTCAAAATAAAAATAAAGAAAGGCTGTGAATGTAGCCCATGGCAAAGACTGCTGTTAAATCCCCAGTACTGAAAGTGGGGGGCAATTTTGAAATTGTAGTTTTCTATATAATTAATTGGGCTCTAGATATTAAGTGAACTAAGTAGGATAATCCATTCATGTTACTTAAAATAGATTAAATAAGTTTATGTTTGGAAGATTAGTAATCAAAGTATCTTGTTAACATTATTTTGATAGTCATTTAGGACAATACAAAAGGGACTATTGCTAGTGATGTGCAGAGGATAAAATCAGACAAAACTGCAGTTCCTAGGAACCCAACCAAAATAAAGTCATAATGAGGACAAAAGTAGAATGAGAAAACACCATGATGGATATTTTAGTTTTCTCTTTTTGTTCCTCTGAATAAGCCACAGTCTGATCCGTGTGCATACTTGTATGCACATGTCCTACGCCCTCTCTCTCAAGCTCCCCTAAAAGCAGAATAGGATCTTAGCTCGAGAAACCCCCAGACATGCTGCAGTCCTTAAATGGAATCCAAAGGATTTCCAAAGCCCCTATTCAGATATGTTCTAAAGACATCTGCTTCTCACTACCCAGGCTATAATTAACTGACTAGTAGTTATCTAGGGAGACAAGAAATCCAGATGTCATGTGGTGATTGGGAAATAGCTACATTAAACAAACCAAAACATTCTCTTTGCAGCTTTATTGAAAAACATATTTATTACAAACATATCTAACCTTAGAAACACAAAATGCTCAGCAAATCACCAGTACAATTTCTTTAGATCAGTGACAACCGGAAAACAAAACAATGGCAAGATATTGAAGGGTATAAGGAATGGCAGATTGGCATAGTTATCTAATATCACATGAGAAGCTAATAGAGAAACTTCCCTTCAAAGCCAAGCTTTATCGTACTTCTATTGCGTATTACAGTGAGATATTATCTGTCTTAGTTACTTTTCTCCTCACTGGGACAAAATATCCCACACCTCCAATTTAAATGGGGAAACGCTTATTTTGGCTTACAATTAGTAGAAGTCTCAGGCCATCATTGACTGGCTGCAAGGCAGGGCAGCATGGCAAAGGGGCATGGCAGAGAAGTAGATTTTCACAACACAGCCAGGGAGAGGAAGGGAGATGCACCCTTCCAGGCCATGCCTTAGTGACCCACTTCCTCCAACCAGAGTTCACCTCCCACCACCACATTTGCTATAAACTCATTAGTGGACTAATCCAGGGACCTGTACCACACCCCACGATCCTATCACTGCCCCACCTATGAGTGCATGAGGCTTTGGGTGGGTGTCTAGATATAAACTGTAACATTACCCAAGTGAATTTTTCTTGGGCCAGGGGTTTGGCTCAGTGGTTCCGCAGCCTACCTCACTAAGCAAAAGGGCCCAAGTTCATCCCTCATGCCAAAACGAGTCAATAAATAAGCAAAAAAACCAAACAAATGAATTTTTCTTCAAACTGCTATTCTGAAGGGGGAAAAAAAGAACAGAATTAAGAGACTTTTTTTCAAATACAAATTATGCTATGTAGAGTGTTAGGCACTTTTTATTTATAGCATTGTGTTTAATCCGACTACTAAGCAATAGGAAAAAAAAAGGAATATTCTTTTATGCATGAAAAATACTGAGACATACCGAAGAAAATTTACAATTTTTCCTAGTACATGTACTTTTTTTAAAAAAAAGAAGAACATGGATGGACTAGACAAGTAGATCACTTCTGAGGTTCCTATAGAAAACAGAGGGTGAGTGGAGAAATCACCCAGACTTTGTCACGGTAGAGGAAGAGAAACCTATGTGACAAGTCCCATAAATGGTAGTAGCAATGGTAGAAATCACTTATTAGGAAATATTCTTGGAGCAGCTGTTATGTGCTATGCACTGTTGCTATGCTGGGGGACACAGCAATAAACTGAAGAGGCCCAAATCCCTACCCTCAGGAAGCTTCTAATATTCCAGTTGGGACACAACCTACAATACATACGATGAAATATAAGTTATACGGAATAATGATACATGGTAAGGGAAAAAGAAAACTCTCACAGGAACTGAACTGCTGTGTGTGTATGTGCGTGTGTGTGTGTGTGTGTGTGTGTGCAGATTT